TGACGACTCTAAGGGACAACGGCACGATGGTGTCTGCGATAAAGATGGCTGTGACTTTAATCCCTATCGTTTGGGAGACCACACCTTCTTTGGTCCTGGATCAAACTTTACCATCGACACGACTCAAGTGTTCACAGTGGTAACACAATTCGTTACAAATGACAACACAGATAATGGAGTCCTCTCAGAGATACGCAGACAATGGATACAAAATGGTAAAGTTATAATGAGCAGGAACATAACTGTTGGCGGTAAGACTTTTAACTCAGTGACAGACGATTTCTGTAATACACAGAAAACTGCATTTGGCGATAGCAATGACTATGAGAAGAGAGGTGGTCATAAGAAGCTAAGTGAAGTGCTGGATCAGGGTATGGTCCTAGTCATGAGTCTTTGGGACGATCACGCTGTCAACATGCTCTGGCTTGATTCCGATTACCCTCTCGACAAGTCTCCATCAGCACCAGGTGTAGCTAGGGGGACCTGCCCCACTAGTTCCGGTAAACCTTCTGATGTTGAGAGTAAGTACCCTGACGCCAGTGTGACTTACTCTAACATCAAGTATGGACCTATTGGATCTACGATGCCAAAGTGATGCCTAAAACTATACTAATTGTGACCGAAACTCTTTAAGATTATTAGATTATTTATCTTTAATTGTGTGGTTGAATAATAGACTTGTTTTTTGCAGCTGATATTGTCTTTGTTTAATGTTATTTTATATAAAATTCTGATAATAGTGTGAACAATCATCCCACATGTCCACTCCACATTGATGCATGCAACATAGTAGAGGTTATAGTTTTGTTCTCTTTACATGCAAATTGACTTAAAATACTTTAGTAATCATTTCCTTTTTCTTATTTTCTCCATTTTCATGTCGTGTTGCTGTTCCTGTAGCCATCCTTCAATCTGCTTCACCTTTCTTTTACGCTCACCATCTCTGCAACATAAATAAAGATACAATACTTGCTGTGTACACACAGTACCAACAATACAATACAATGAGTATCATTAGGGGTATCACTAATGATGGAGAAGTCCTTTACATCACAGACTACCGACATTATAAATTACCTTGTCAGCTGTTCTTTGAGTTTCTGACGTGCTAAGAACTTTGTATCTTTACGTATCTCTCTGATAGCACCCTGGAATGACAACCAATACACTTAGCTATGAATGTCAAGATTAAGTAATAATACCTTCAGTTCTCTTTTGTGTTTGTGTTTTAGTTTCATCATTTCTCCTTGAGTCTTGTTCGGAGCTTTCCTCTTTCCCGGCTGATAGCTACAAAAATACACTCAATAAACTCACAGAAGAACTGTAGCAAGTCAATTGTAATTATAAGAAATTATTAGCCGTACATGTACATGTATATACATTACTTACTCATTATCAAACTGTGGTTCAAAGAACTTGACAGATTTCGGCTTACGCCTTAAAACCTACCAAAGAATTAATTATAATGAAAACAATCAGACAAAGGAACAGACTTGAAGGATAGGCTTAGGACGACTGATCCCTGATTCTATAGATACTTTAACTTGTTCAAGAAGTGACTGAAGAATTAATATTTTAAAATAATTTCTTGCATTTTTATTTCTTACCTTTAGTGTCTTGGGAACATCCAAACTACATGATAAAGGCAAAATTCACAAGCAAAGTATATAGAGACTTGCTAACCTTTTGATAGTGTTCAGAGTTGTTTGAAAAATAGCATCAAATGATGGACTGTTATACCAATACTGACTTACTGTGTTCAGACACTCCAGTGTTAACTTTAGCAGTGATAATCTATTAAAAATCCAAAGATGATTGGAATCTGCTCAAATAACTTCAATTTTCCGAGTTACGGCCACTTTTAAAAAATGCCAAAATTCTGAAAAGTACCCAAGGCTATAGCCCATGGTTTTTTCCAAAAAATGGCTCCGAAATCACCTCCAATTTTTATTACATTTTCTGATACATATTGATGTTCTTATGCTGTGTAGAAAGTTTGAGCTGATTCCGACTTCAATTTTTCAAGTTACGGCCATTTAAAAAAAGTGCCAAAATTCTGAAAAGTACCCAAGGCTATAGCCCATGGTTTTTCTAAAAAATGGCTCCGAAATCACCTCCAATTTTTATTAAATTTTCTGATACATATTGATGTTCTTATGCTGTGTAGAAAGTTTGAGCTGATTCTGACTTCAATTTTTCAAGTTACGGCCATTTTAAGAAAATGCTAAAATTCTGAAAAATACCCAAGGCTATAGCCCATGGTTTTTTTTCCAAAAAATGGCTCCGAAATGACCCCTACTTTTTATTACTTTTTCTGATACATATTGATGTTCTTATGCTGTCTAGAAAGTTTGAGCTGATTCCGACTTCAATTTTTCCAGTTACAGCCATTTTAAAGAAAATGCCAAAATTCTGAAAATTTTATCCATTTAGATGGCTAGGTCCTTACTTTACTTGATCCAATGATAATTCATCAATACTTCTACAACGTAGCAACTCGACACTATCAGATAAAATAAAAACGGCTAATACCTATAAACTTGGACCCTTACTTTAATATATCAATACCTTCCTCTTCTTTAGAATAT